ATACATTGAAGGTTTTGGCCAAGAGAAAGTATGTAACTCTGTAAATCGTCTACGACCGCGACAGCGGTTCTTAAAATTTTGGACCCCTGATGGAAGACTTTTAAAAATCGCGGACCTCCTACCAATTTTCTTTCGAATACCTACCTACCTTTTTTTTACGAAATATCTCATATTATCATAATTAATATTTTAGTACTTGTTTTATATTACAAATCAAATATCAAGTAGGCATACACGATACGAACATACATACGTGGCTACGTTATTTATAATTATTATTCTTATTCATAATTTTTCATAAAAAATGTAGTATTTTAATTTTAGATAGAACCGCCGCTGTGGTCCACAGTTTAAGAACCAGTCTGGTCTACGACGTCTATATATTATCTTCGGCGATGCAAATAACGTTCAGTGCATACCTAAAATATTGCGTTTTTTTTTACTTATCGATCAATAATTCGCCTCATCAACAAAATATGTTACTACCTAGTGTATATGCAGTGTGTGTGTGTTTTTTTTATTTCAATTTTTATTTGCCTATTATATGTTAAATGTATATTAAAATATTAGTTTATAGAGTTCTGAATGTTTTAACTAATCGCATTGTGTACACAACATGAATCATCGTCATAATTCACAGCGTGTGCGGATTCGATCGTCAGACCACTTGTGGATCGATGGACGGGTTAGCGCAGTACCTAATTTTACGTAAACTGCACAATGTTATGTACTATGGTGTTTTTTCAACAACATCGAAAACAATAGTTTTTATTATTATTATTTTAGACTCTTAGCGGGGCTATGAATTTATTGATTTTACAATGATGTGTGCAATGTGCATATATGGTGCATGACAATATATCTTGCACTTATACTTTGACGAGGACAGAACTTTCAATATAATATTTTTTTGGGGTTTGGTATCCAAAATGTTATTGGTTAATATTCTTCATAGGTCCCACATGACCACGATCATGTTCATCAATCATTTTTCTGTTGTAATAAATAAAACCATACCTATATAGTATATACCGTTTAATACAAAAAATATAAAAATAACATTTTACTGTATAAAAAATATAATTTTATTACTGGATAATTTATAGTTAATATAACAATTTTATTATATAAATTATAATAATAATTTGAATCCAGTAATAAATAATATCAAGTATAAAAATAATATCATTTTTAAACACCGTGGTTTATAATTTTGAAAAAAATAAACAAAAAACATTAGAGGTGTGAGATAAATGATAATTCAATAATATTATAAATGATATATAATTAACGAGTGCTTTAAAATTTTGAAACATTTATGCCGAAAATAATTAATAAGTAATATAAAGAAAAATAGGAAAAATGCTCGCAATGTGGCAAAAAAACAGGAACAATAATATTAACAACAAAAAAAGGTGCTCAACGTGGCAAAAAAACTGGAATAATAATATTAAAAAAAAATGAAAATGTGCTCAATGTGGCAGAATAAATTTCAGTAAACAGTGATATTAACACAAATTAAAAGGTGCTCAAAGTGGCAAAAAACATGAATAATAATATTAACAAAAAATGAAAATGTGCTCAATGTGGCAGAATAAATTTAAGTAAACAGTGATATTAACACAAATTAAAAGGTGCTCAAAGTGGCAAAAAACACGAATAATAATATTAACAATAATTGAAATGTAAAAAAATATAAAAGGTGCTCAAAAGTGGCAGAATAAATTACAATCAATTGTAAGAAAAAAAAAAGACATCAGTCAAGCCGAGGCGAAGTGGGGGGTACGTGATGGCGAGTGGGTGGTGCAGAAGATGGTCACCTCCACAACGTTCTTGCGGCCGGTCCTGCGGGGGGACAAGAGTCGCGGGCGCGTTTCCTCGAGGAAGCGAAGACGACTACGGAAGCGGGCGGAACTCGACCACGACGGCTGCGAGAGCGACGATGACGGTCGTCGACGGTTGGCTAGCGATGACGTGCGCTATAGATATTGTGCTGCAGGTGCCGAAGACGACTGTGGCGACGGCGAAGACGGTCACCAAAGAGGCTCGTCGGAGCGAGCGACGAAGACTAAAATATTATTATTATACGGTCCCTAGCCACCGTACGATAATAATAATTAAAGTCGTCCGTCACTCGCCCGACTTGCGCTCTGCGGTTTCCGTCGACACCGTCGCGAGTCGTCTTCGCGGTGCAACGCTGCAGCAGTCGTACCGTAAGTGCAGGTACCACCGGTACAGCTAGCCAGCTCGTCTCGTCGTCGTCGTCGTCACTCTCGGACCGAAGCGGCCGGGGCCCGCCATGCTTCCACAGGGTCTCCGGACGTCCGCGATCCCGTGTCCCTGCCGCCGGTGGCCGGAGAACGTGTGTCGGTGACCTTCTGCCGATCACCATGGAAGTGCACTTTCACGTACCTCATATATACCTCGATCCCCACATCGCTTCGCCTTGACTGCTGCCCTCGACCGAGGTGTCGGGTTTGGAGGACGCTTTTCAGCAACCCAGGCAAATTACTGCACGTCCGGCCCGTTTCACTGCTCTCCACGCGGCGGCCGCCAATCGCCTCACCCGCCCGCGTGAAGACACTGCAGCTTGTGTTGCCGGTTCGTCGATCTTCACCCCACTCTTCGCCGACCTTTTGCAGTCGGCCTCGGCCGGCCGCGTCCCGGTGCAGTCCACCTCTTCGTTTCCGGTCTTCGCATGGTCGCTGAGGTCCAGAAGTGCAGCCCGTCCACGCTGCGGTTCGGACTGTCCGCAAGACTGCACTTCCGAAATCTCCTGGTCTTGGCCGATGACAGCCGCGCTGACCATCGACACGACGTAGTCGCTCAAATCAGCTCCATCGAACTCCTTCTCTCCGTCGTAAATGACTCTGGTTTCGGTTTCTGTAGAGTATAGTTGTTCAATTTTTGTCATTAGAGCTGCCACAACGTCCATCACGGAAACGTTAAAATAGTCCCGGAGGATCTCTTCATCGTACTCTCGCTGCATAATGGTGTGGAAACTGTACTTAGTTGCTAGGTTTTTTTTTATTTTTTATGCCTACCATACGCAAGGCGAAGAAAAATTATTAAACAATAAGACAATATAAAAATAAAATCATAAGTTGATCATTGTATATATTATTTATGTGAAAATTACTATAATATTCGAGAGATGTTTCGTCGCGAAATATAAACTGATTCAAAATGTGTAATCGGTCGTACGCATAAACATCCAAACGAAAATCTCCATGACAACAAAATAATATTATATTGTTCAAAATTGAAAATATATTATACATTTATACGGTCAATTTATTTCCAAAGACATTACATATTATGTACATTTCAACATATTATTCATGTTAACAATAATACTTGTATAATTGTAATGTAATAATTGGAATACCTACCTTTACAATATAGCTTTATATACCTATTAATAAAACACCTATATTGCACGTCACAATAATTTGTTTCTTATCTCAAGAAATAATTTTCATCCAAATATTTGAGGATTTAAAATGATGTCATTAGTTTACTCTAATATGGAATTCAGACTTATAATTCGTTTATTGACACTCGATCGAGACATCGAGTACCAGTCAGATTGGAACATAGGGTACTCAAGGCAATTTTCAAAATATTTATATTCATTCTATGCTATTTGCATACCACAAACCTATTCACACCGTATTCACTATAAATTGACCAGGTAGGTAATAATAACATCTAGTAATATTGTATAAAATAATATTATGATTTATATTTTATAATCTATATAAATAAATGTATATAAATGAATTGCTGTTTGTTAGTTTCCCTAAAACTCGAGAACGGCCTGACCAATTTGGCTAATTTTGGTCTTGAATTATTTGAGGAAGTCCAGAGAAGCTTTATAAGGTGAATAAATATCAAAGTTTTATTATTTTTACATTTTCTAATTTCTATATATTAGAGCTCTGCATGGTCCATATTTTTGTGGACCAGACCGGACTAGTTAATTTAATTAAGACCAAGACTGGACTGGACTATCATTAAAATAATTTAACTGGACCGAGACTAGACTGATTTATTTTAGGCTGTTGAAAAAGACTGGGACCGGACCGTTTTATTTTTATATTTTTAAAAAAGACTGAGACTGGACTATTAAAAAAAAAATATTTTTATCAGGACCAAAATTACATTAATTAAATTTAAAAAAAAATTCACCGTAGAATCAAGATCGATTGGTGCTGACCGATTTTACTTTTACTTCTTAGAACAATACCGAGACTGGTTTAGATTGAAACATTTGATAAAGACTAATGCTGTTTTGCACGAAAAATGTAGTAATTTAATAGTTCAATAAAATGTCATGTTAAAGGGATCAGCTCACTATTGATTCCTAAAATGTTTAGTGACTGTTCATGAACCTCGATATGAGAATATTAACATTAATAAAGACATTATAATTCAAATAAAAACTATGTTTAGTTTTAACAAAATGTGAATTGAGGAAATTATCGGATTACCTCATTTCTAAAAAGAATATATTAATATAGTTGAAATTTGTTTTTAAGAATAATTTCTTTAATTAATTAATTTAGTAGTATTTCATATAATTTTGTAGGTGTATCTACGATCTACCTACAATTTATAATACACCTATATTTATAAAAAATACTGAATAACTGTACTAATACAGTTGGTAAGTACATATAATGTATTGTTATATGTACCTATAATATCGGAAAATAAGTACAACTTAATTTCTTTTAACCGTTTATTATAATAATCACAAAAAAAATGTTTCATATTTCAAATTAAAATATATAACATTTATAATATGCTAGAAAAATTAGGTATAGATTTTACTGTGCCGCACCTAGTTACTATAAGATAAGTTTTTTAGCTAAATTCTTTATATTTAAAATAAAATAAATGTGAAAATAATTAATATTAAAATAATTATTAGTTGATACCTGATAGTTCAATTAAAAATAATAGTAAAATAATATTTAAATAATAGTAAAATAAATTCATTTTTTATTTTTAAAATGGTTATTTAAGAACAAAATCGAATCTACGCTTGTACCACTCAGACAACTTCTACGCTCTTCGATTAGTCTTCCAGCAACGCTAAAAGAGCGTTCACTGCTAGCACTACTAGCTGGAATAGCCAAAATTTGTCGTGCTAATACACTTAAATGTGGAAAAATGTGATTTTGACGCTTCCAAAAATCTAACAAATTGTCGTCGATAACATCAAACTTTTCTTTTTTATAAGCTTCCAATTCTTTTTCATATTTACGCCTATTGTCTAAATCTTCATTATTTTCACCATCTTCCCATTCTGAAAATAGTGAGCTATTCGAAGTGTTTTTTTGTATGGTAACATTATGTTCCTGGTGTAGGTTTTCTGGAGTTATATTTTCTTTTAATTCAATTTCTAACAACTTCAATCCTATATTTTGAAATATACGTGATTTATCTGGTTCTGAAAACATTTTTAGACATTTAAATTTTGGCGATAAAAAAATGGCAATCTCGTGTTCTTCGGCCAACTTAAATTTAGATTCCATGAACTCTAAACCTCGTTTTCCTAATTTTTGCATTATTGAGTTGGGTGTAAGTTCTTCATTTGCATCAAATATGTCCTCTTGAAGTTCAGCATATGTTTTTAAATGTTTTTTCAATAACAGTTGGTATAAAACAACCTTTTGAATAGTCGGATACTTATCACCCTCTAGTTCATCAGATGCTTTTTTAAATGGTTCCAAAAAAATTGTAATTTTTTCCAGTAATTCTGTATTAATATTTTGTATACGATTGAAATGTTCTCCATATAGTTGAATTATTTCTGGAAGTGCTCTTTTCACTGATTGAAACATTAAAAGCCTTGTATTCCACCTCGTTTCAACTTCTTGTACAAGTCCTTGACTAAGTTCACTATTTTTACCCGAGCTTTTCATAAATTTTACCAAATGTTTACATTCGTTTAGTAATATCACTACTGGATTCAAAAGTTTATTACCGTCTTCTTCATGATTCAAAAATTTCGAATCAAACAGATTTCTTAATACAGTATTAATTAAATGAGCACAGCAGTTAAGTCTATTGTTATTTCTGAGAGCTGTTAACATATTGGAACCTTGGTCGGTAACAAAAGTTATATTTGACATTAAATCAAATGTTGGCTCATCTGCTGCATCAGATATTTCACAAAAAAAATTCAACATGAAACGTTTTATATTGTCACCCGTTTTTACTTCATTACTTGGAAATAAACCAGTTTTAAGTAGAAGACAGTTTAATTCCCAATTATCATCTATGTAATGCAGAGTTACCGACATGTAACTATTCTTACGATAATTATCAGTCCACATATCACAGGTTGAAGCACAATATTTTTTGTTTATAATAAAAAATAGATCTTTAAAAAGTTTGTTTCTGATTTCTTTAGTACTTTTTTCAACGTGTCTTGATATGGTAGTCGGGTGAGGCAAAAGGTCCGAAATGTCAATTGGTCCATACTTTCTACCAGTGTCTAATAAAAACTGACACAAATTCTTCAAACCTTCACCTTCAATTGCGGACATTGGTCTTATATCCATACAACAAAATTCAACGCATTTTTCAATTGCTTTTATCTTTAATTCTTTTGGTATTATTTTTTGTTTTTTACTTTTCTCTTCAATAAATATATCAATAGATCTTTGCAAACCTTTATCTAAACTGCATTTGTGTCTATTAAGTGTAGCTGTCGCTGATTTATTCCCGTAGAGTTCCTTGCAATTTATACAAGCAACATATTCTGTTAAAATTTGTTCGGGAGCATCAGGGTTGTCGATATTTTGAACGATTTGCATAACATTTTGAAATTTTTTCCACGTGTCACTTTTTCCTTCACGAGGCAACAAAATATATTCTCCAGTATCGTGGGTTAATTTTCGTTTAACAGCATTTTTAGAATTGTTTCTCATAAATGGATGAATCAAAGATTGATTTATCGTAGATCCAGAAGTAGAAGGAAACGAAACAACAGAAGAATCGTCGATCGTGTCATTCGGTATAGGAGTACTGCATATTACTCTGTTTTGATCAGTAGACAAATCATTAAGTGAACTTGCAAAACTCGAATTTAAAAATTCAGAAATTTCTTGAGAATTCATAATTCTAAAATAATGAAAAAATAAATTGAAAAATGTGTGTATAAATTATTATACATAATAGTATAAAATATTTCGAAATAAATGAAAAATAGTATATTTTGTTTGAAAATATCAGCGATTGAAAATACCAACACCTATTTATATATCGATTTATTGATATTTTTAGATTCTGAACGGAGTGAGGAATGATTTACAATGATGTGTGTTTTTTTTTTGTGTCTGTCATCACGATTTGGAATAGTAATAATGCTTTGATTTTCACAAATAGCACCGTTTCTGAAAGAGTAGTGAATCTAGTTGGTACTAAAGTGTAAAATTTCCAATACCTTTTAAAAGCGTCGGGAAAAACCCTAAAAAAGTAACAAAAAAACGGGAAATTTCACGCAAAACCAATTTTCGACAAAAACGAAAATTTAATTTTACTGTAACTTAATAACTAATTACTGTAAACACTTGAAATTTTCACTAAATGTTTATATTAGCGTTATCTATACAGGGTTAAATATTCAGTGTTTTGAGCTATTTATAGACAATTTAATTTTTCGAATTTTTTAAGTTTATTTTTTTGAAATATGAAAAAAAAAATTTGGCTCTCCAAAAAATCTTGAAAATTTAATACAAGGTTATTTATGAGTTGTTCTTAGTGTAGTTAAAAAAAATCAAAAATCGTTTGTCACAATTTTTTTATAAGCGATAATAGTTCAAATTATTACGAAATAAGCCAAAATTGCGAAAATATGCAAGTAATTTGGCAGTTAAAAATTCATAAAATTTTTACTTTTCATACCTAAGGTTAAAAACTTCAACACAAGGTCATCCATAACTTTTTTTCTTCAAGTACTTTAAAAAAAAACTCGATCGTGATTTTAGAAAAAAATTTTATGAACGTCTGAAATTTAAATTTTTACAAAATTGCGTAAAATAACGATGTATCGAAAAATGATTTTCGATATTTGTTATTATTCAAAAAGTATAAGTCATAGATACTTGAAAATGTTACCAGTTGTTTAGATTGGCATTTTCATTATATAATTTTATTTTCAACATATTTCACTAATTTTTAATCTATTTATAGGCATTTGAAATATTCGATTATTTTAATATATTTTTTTTAAATTTTGTCAAAAAAAAATTCGCTGGGACAAAATACTTGAAAATTTAATAAATGATTCTACATGAGTTGTTCTTACTGTCATTCAAAAATTATAAAAAAACATTTGCACAAATTTTTTTTATTAACATTTGAAATGTATTTATTGACAAAATTCGTCAAAATCATGAATATTTGCTAATTATTCTGTACTTAAAAATGTATAAATCATTTTTGATTAAAAGCTAAGAATTGAAAATTTATTACTAGGTTGTCCATAAGTTGAGCGTAGAATAATAAATTATAAAAAAAATTGATGATTATTCAATTAAAAAAAATTTACGAGTGTTTAATTTTTAACGAAATCAAAATTCACGCGTTAAAATAAAATAATAACAATATTTAAATATAATAATATATCCTAGTCCCTAGACTGACAAATCATCTCCGTTCAGAATCGTTTTTTGTATTCAATGATACCTATCATTGCCTTAAAATTAACAAACACATTACAGTGACCTACTCTATGACCGAGGTCCATCCCACCTTCTAATGTACAGCAGAGTGACATCCACTTATCCCCTTTTTTTACGTAAATTCTCCATCTCTAGTCTAATGTATATAGGTAATATAAACAACGCAATAAATACTATTTTATTTAATATACTACTTACCAAATATTGGAGATAACAATCGGTTATATTAAAATCTGCTGGTTGGTACTAGGTACTAGAGTAGGTAGTGAGTACTCAGTACTGTCACTTCACACAGCCAAAGTAGAAATGATTGAAAAATAGAAACATTAAAATGTAAAATAATTTTTCAATTAATAATTTCTTATTATTGTGTTTACTACTGTACCAATTCAAAATTAAATATTTTAAGTAGGGAATATGGAGTAGACTAGACGGCTAGGTGATGTTTATTATATTATGACTATTGCCTATATTATATTTATAACAAAATATGTTATCACGATTTACGAATGATGACAGTAAACCCAAAATTAATTAATATCAACAGCCATCGTGCGACGTTCAGTTTATTACTATAGAATTTATAATCAATTACCTAGTTAATACCTATTGCATACTAGGTACTAGGTAGTACTCAGTACTCATTAGTCACAGAAGTCGCTCAGTAGTTTAATTAAAATAATAATAATAATAATAGTAAAATACAAATATTATTGCTATACAGTACCTAATACCTATTAACGACGATATTTGACATAGGGGCCGTCATTCCGAGAAAAGTAAAAGTAATAATAACAAATCATACTAATTCTATTTCCTAGTACTTCCGACGTTTAATTGTAGATACGAGAATAGGACCATAACTGAACCGATGTAATTTCCAAAATTAAAGGACCGACGAAGACTGGACCGTGTGTTCTTTTAAATAAAAAGACCGGCAAATACTGGACCATGTATTCTATTAAATAAGTAGACCAAAAAAGACTGGACCATTCATTATTTTTAAATAAAAAGACCGACTAAAACCGGACCACGGTCCAGTCTGGTCCGGTCCGGACCGGTCCAGACCGGACCATGCAGAGCTCTACTATATATACATATAAATGGAGCGTGAAAAATTGTCATTACCTCATCAATCGAGAACGGCTCCTCCGATTTGGCTCAAATTTTTGTAAGATGTTCGTAATCGCCAGTAGAAGGTTTTTAAGAAAGAACATCTTAAGAAAATCCACTGGAAAAGTAGGAAATCTGGATGTAAAAAATACAACAGTGGCGCAGCAGTGTATTATATATTGGTTGCTATATGGTTAATCGGGCATGTTTGTTGATTTGTGTTATTATTTTTTGTTAATATATAATATATAAATTAATGTTTGTGTGTACTGTGTAGATAGACCTCTGGGAAGAAGACAGGCTATAATTTAAACATATAAACATGTTTCAATTTGGTTTTTTTTTTATTCATCTGGTATTAGTACGCAGGGCCGTAGACACGGGGGGGGGTTAGGGGGTTCAAACCCCCTCCCCCCCCCTTGGAAAGTTTATAAATTTATTTCAAATATTTAAAACTACTAATATATTATTTTATAAATTAAAAAAAAAAATTTTTATAATATTTTATATATTATATTTTATATTTTAGTAATTAATAATATTTTAGATGTTTGTGTTGTTATCGGTTATAAGTAAGGTATTTTGTGTATCGTCTAATGGTCGCAATGACAAATCACCATTACCAAAACCGTTTTGTTACTGTGATAATTGATAATCTTATTATATGTTCATGTTGATAATACTGAAATTTAAGATAACATATTAATAAGGTATTATCAGTATTATAGTTAAAACTTTAAAAGTTAAAACCGTGCTAAAAAAAACATAGATTTGAGAGAAATGATCAGTTTGGCCAATATCAGTATCAAGGTTCTTGACAATTTAAGGGAAAATGTAGATCATGAATTTAAAAAAATGTTCAAAGAAGCTCAAGTAATGAATGCCTTAAATTCAATTTTAATGTTCATTTTTTTAGCTATAATTATATTTTTAAATAGAGATTGCCTCAGATGTTAGACTTTGAAATATCAGTCAAACAGCTGAAAAAGAGTCAAAATATTTTCAAAATTGTATGGTGTATAGGAAATTCTAATATACACATTCAGTGAAATTTTCATGTATCTACAGTTATTCGTTTTTGTATTACAACAAAATAAGGAAATCGCTACATGAGAAATCGAGTGAATATCCAATGTTGTAAAAATTTGAATTTCAAACGCTCTTAAAAATTTAATTTGACTTTCTTATAGACATTTTTTTTTTTGATAAATGTAGATAATCTTATGAGGAATCTTGTATTACATTTTCAAATCTTAGATTTAAAAAGAAAAATGTTCACGAATTCTTAACTCAAAATAATTTGCTAATTTTCATGATTTTTCCATATTTTGTCAATTTTTGAACTTTAAATGCTTATAAAAAAAAATTGTGACTAAGAATTTTTAATATTTTTCATCTGCCTTTGAAACAACATACTAGGAGCCTTCTATTAAATTTTCAAGCTTTCGCAACCAACAAATAAAATTTTATTGATATTTTTAGAAAAAAAACTAAAAAAAAATGGAAAATAAAAATGTGCCTAAACAGTTCAAAGTAAATCAAAATATTTTGAAAATGTTATCGTGTATAGAAAATGCAAATATAAACAACCGGTGAAAATGTCATGTATATACGTTTATTTGTTTTAGAGTTACACTAAAAACCAAAATCGATTTTTTGGAAAACCGATTTTGCGTAAAAATTCCCGTTTTTCCTTAATTTTTATGTTGTTTTTCCCGGCGCTTGTGAAAACTACTGGGAAATTTTTACTTTTGACCCCCCAAAGTACCAACTAGATTCACTTTCCTATCAGAAAAGCTACTGTTGCATGTAACAATACTATATAACATGTTATTATTATAATAAACCCCCCCCCCCCCCATATAAAATTCCTGTCTACGGCACTGTTAGTACGGTTAGGTTAGGATTTTGTATTGATTGATTATATTAATCCACTATAGGTTAGGTTACAACAACTCGTAAAAAAAAAATTACAAACATAAAAACTCTCCTAACCTGTTAGTATTTAATATTTTTAATATAATAATTTAATTTGCGATAAATTGTGTCGATTATAACCTATAATATTTGATTCGATAGTGCATGACAAATAATATAAATTACATTTTTTTTCTTAGCATTCCTATACGTAGGTACTTATATAGTATGACGTGCACATATTTAATAAACCAAAATTAAAAATATATTGACCGTTTATATGACGTATTACATATTATATATTTTATGTAGCAAATAGTATATTAATATAAATTAAAACAAAAATATTGTTTAATGCATTTAACGGGTTGAGCGCCATGTGAATTTTTATAGTTTTTCCAATG